AGGAAAAAGAAGCCTGATGTGTTTGTTATTTTAAACATTTGGCTTCCAAAGGTAGAATTTATTTAAAAATATAAGAATTTGTATAAGCTAACATCTATTTGAAACATCATTTACCATTCTAGACTTGTTGGAATTTTTGTTATGTGCAGCAAGATTCACTGCTGGAGGATCAATGACTGAGCCTGGAAATAGCTGTGCAAGTTCAGCATTAATCACAACAGAAACTGCTTCATTGGGCGGAGTCAGTGGTGGAGTCATGAAAAGTGGTGTTGTTTTTGGAGTAGGTGGAATAACATCAGATGGATGGATGAAAAATCCAGGGGCAACGACAGGGTTGGAAGGCACAGAGTTGTGAACAGGGCCTGCTGCTGATGCTGCTGATGCTGCTGCAGCTGCTGCAGCTGTTGTCTGATGCAACTTGGCTTCCAGCTTTGCTTTCTGTAAAAGAAACAAAAGCAACACCTATAGAAGAATCCTGACTACCTAAGTTGTGAAGAACACTCTATAGTTATATAAAAAAGTTAGACAAGATAACTAAATTCTAGTTTCATGAAGACAAAACTGGACTCAACAACATATGAAGTACAGCCTCACTAGGATACTTCTTAAAATACTGTCTTATTAGGGAACCACAATTTGATCAAAAGATGAAAAGCAAGCAGAACACTTAAATGTAAAGAAAAAAACCAAGTTATGCTATAAATGAACCAAAAGTGGATTCAATGATAATTGATCTATCTTCTCATGAGGAATTTGTACAGGTTGCACTTAGTCAGGAGTTAAATCTATAAATCATGTTATTACTGTTATACTTAGAATCAAATTAATGTAATTGGTCTTTATAATGTCCCACATTCACTATTTCATGAAAACAGTAACTGTTAACTTTACAGTTACTCCAGGAGTGTTTAAACACAAAATAAACTTTAAGACTGAACAAAAAGTATCATTTTCTCTTAACCATGTACTTAATAAAATGCATTCATGTAATTTTAATACATTTAAATGTATCACAAAGACTTTACCTCAATTTTTTGTTGAAAACGATTAACTCAGATTGGACAATCTACTTCCTTTATGAAAATAATGGTCATTTTTACAGTACTTTTCAGCTTTTGAAGTTTAGAGACAGCACGAACAAAGAGTCAAATAGTCTCCAACCTGTTGCTGAAGCTTCAAAAGCTGCTGCTGTTTCTCTTGCAGCACCTGTAGCTGTTGCTCGGCTGAAGCCATTGCATGAGAGAGAGACTGCAAAGCTACCTGGGCTGCTGAACTCAGGGCTGTCGAGGCTTCCCCAACTGTCCCAGATGATAGTCCACCTACTGCAGGAGTAACCCCGAAGGAACTCACTGGCATAAGACAAGGGAAAAACAAACAAAGACACCAGGATGAAGAAAAGGCTCACAGAGGTACATGGTCAAAGTACATAATTTGACATTAAAGCTATATTAAACTGAATTAAAACTATATTTAAACTTTAAAAATAAAAAAGGCTTGGATTTTATTCAGTATCAGGACACTTGCCTAAAAGGCGCAGAGAACTGAGTACAATCACCACTATCACCATATACATATGAACACTGCAATGTGGTGTTACTAATACTGATACTCAAGTTCTAAGAGGGTCCTGGAACAAATCCCAAAACAAACTTTTGAGTCACTTATTTTTCACAAGTATTTCTGGAATAGAAGAAATCTGCACATGATCAAAAAACCCAAATAATCTTATATAATATGAACATAAAATTTAACAGTGTCATTAGTTTTCTTATACACTGAAAACCCTCTCTTGGTCTTCAAAAAAGCACCCTACTTAGTGGGGTGTGATACACACGCCTACAATCCGATTCAAACTGAGCAGGGCAACATAGTGAGATGCTGTCTCAAAAAAATAGAAGTGAAAAAGTTCCCCGCAAGAATCATGTCAAATTTTGGCAGGCGGTGGTGACACATGCCCTTAATCCCAGGATTCTGGAGGCAGAGGCAGGAGGAGCTCCAAGAGTTCAAGGTAGCCTGAGTGAGTGCCAGGAAAGGGGAAAAAAAGATGACATTAAAAATTGATATTGAAATTTAAGGATATTAATTAAAAAGAAGAAAGATGCTAAATTCCTCTTTTAAACAAAAATATTTCTTGTCTTTTAACTGTAAATAAGTCTTTGGTCTGCATGTATGTCTGTGCACAGGTGTGTGTCTGGTGTTACAGAGGTCAGTAGCGTCTACAGAAGCGGATTTAAAGACAATTTGTGTGTATACTAGACTGAATCTTGAATCTTCACAGAAGCAACAACTGCTCTCAAATGCTGTGCCATCTCTCAACCTTCATCTCCATATTTTAATCTGTAGACTAGACAAGGGATAAAAAGACTGAAGGGGATGTTTTAAGTCCTGGCTTTATTAATTTTGCTACAAGAGAATATATATAAATCTTATTTTCTATTTCCAGCTCACTGGAACTTCAAATGGAGAAATATACATTTTACACACAGTCAAATCAAGCCCAAATTACTTACTTATAAACATTCTCACCAGTAAAATACAAATTTGACTTTTTCAATGTAGCTCAGCAATATAGTATAAATGAACACTTTTTTCATTCAATACTTATAATTATTGAAAATCTGATGTAAAAGCTTAATTTCGTAACTCATTCTAGCACATTATCATAATATAAAAGGTCAGTCTAATACAGTACTACCATTTTAATATTTGCATTATTACAGGCCTTTACTAAAAAGATCCACAGGAAAAGAGTAACTATTATAATGACAGTATACTTTGTATACCTCACTAAATGATGTTCTTTTTTAATTCTTTGGTTTTTTTCAAAACAAGAGTATTTCTATGTAGTTTGAGAAGTTCTGAGACTGACTGCTCTGTAGATCACAGTAGCCTCCATCTCAGAGATCCACCTGTCTCTGCCACCTGAGTGATGGGATTAAAGCGTGCCATGCCCTGTTCTTAACTAAAACCCTTAATAAATTACCACACTTAACAGATTATTAGGTACATGAGGTAAATGTCATGACTCCAATCCTCTGATGATTAAACAATGACACAGTAGCTAAGCTCACAGTGAAAGAACTCGGTATGGAACCCGAGCCAAGATAAACATGCATCTTATCTAAATTTATCAAATCAATAAAACAGTAGAGTTAATTAAGCAGAATACTACTGTATTATTATGTGTATGAGATACTGTTATAATCTCATTTATAGATAAGGAATCTAAAGTGAGGAAGTAGTACTCATTCATCAATTTCTAAAAGTGGGGAAGCATAACAAAAGGTCTGTATGACAAAAAATAAACATTGCACATGTAGGCACTACCTATTATGGGGGGGGGGAGATGATTCCATTGCTTGCTTTGCAAGAGGGGATAAACCAAAGATACAAAGAATAATTTTTCAGACCTAATATTTTATCATTAAATTTTTTTGAAGCTTGATTTGTATATGTGTGAGTAGTACCATGAGTGTTCCTAGTACCAATGAAAGCTAAAGGGATGTCAGATACCCCAGAACTAAAGTTACAGGTGGCAGTGAACCATCCTGAAGGTGCTGGAAACCAAACATGGGTACTCCTTTGCAGGAGCAGCCAGTGCTCTTTACCCTCTGAGCTATTGCAATTACCCCAATACTTTTACATTTTTAATGTCTTCAAAACACTAATGATCCAAACACAATTTTTTTTTAAAGCTAAAAGTATTGGTTCCTAATCTTATGACTGGTTCCAGGAAAAGATCACGGTTTCCAAGTTAAAAGTTTCCTGTAAGCTTTATAAAGAGACTACAGTGTAAGAAAACAAAGCAATCTTGATGTTACCAAAACTTTCATGTATATGTATTTTAAATCTGAAGTGTCATCTTCATACTACATAAACTAAACTTTATTTCCACAATAAAAATGTACAAAGCAAAATTTGAAGGAAAACACACTTAAAATTAACTGATAAATTCTTTTAAAACTCTCCTTTCCATAATCAAATCCAGGATTATAAACTGAATTCTCCTGTTGTTGGTAGTTTAATATTATTGGTGTTTTTTTAATCTGCTTCTTTGACAGGACTAGGAACTTAATCCAGATTTTTTGTTTTGGTTTGTTTGTTTTTTGAGGCAAGGTTTCTCTGTGTCACTTTGGTGCCTTTTCTGAAACAAGCTATTGTAGACCAAGCTGGCTGCAAATTCAGAGATCCACCTGCCTCTGCCTCCTGAGTGCTGAAATTAAAGGCGTGCACCACCACCGCCCAGCTTTAATCCAGATTCTTACCACCACCGCCCAGCTTTAATCCAGATTCTTAAACACACTTGGCAAGTGCTCTACCACTGAGCTACACTAGGCCTGTAAGATTAATGAAGAGGTTGAAGTGGCAATGGTTTAAATAAGGTTCCTAGTAAAGTCAGTTCAAGAAAGATACTATTCAAATCCTTCTGCAAAGGAAATACAGACTTAGGTCAAAATACAAATATTCTTTATTTGCTATTTTTATTTTTGAAGACAGGACTTCTCTGTGTAGCCCTGGCTGTACTGGAACTCACTCTGTAGAACATGCTGGCTTCAAACTCATAAAGGTCCACCTGCCTCTGCCTACAGGTGCTAAGATTAAATGCGTGTACCACTACCACCAGATTAAAATACAAATATTCTTTATTATAAAATTTTTAATTCTTTTTGCCAAAATAAACATTCATTAATACTAAAACATTTGGGGTGGCTCACAGAAAAAATTTAAATAGCAAGCATCTGCATGACTTACAGACATAATTGTTACGTGTGAAAGTTGCTTATCTAATCAATACCAGCACATACTTACCACAATCATACAGTGTTCATCACTGCAACACTTCCAAGACCTCACTAAGATAAGCTCTTGTTATAAAGCACAGGCTGGATTCAGTATTCCAGTGATTATAGGCAGGTAAAACACAACTGAAACTACTGTTAATTTAAGTATAACAAGAAACATCAGGATATCAAAATTATAAACAAAACTAGCTATCATCTGATTGCTGAAGATGGATTTATGGAAATATTTATCTACCTTACTCTTCTGATTTCATTCTGATTGATATTTCCCATAATAAAAAGTTCCTAGAAATGTATGCACGTATAAAAATAAAAAGGATTTAAGGAAGTACATCACTAGGTAACAAGGGAAAAATCATGTACTGACCTTGAATGCAAAACTATTCATAGTATTCCCTCCAAACATCTCTCTCTCTCATATTGCTTCTACTTACCATGCAGAAGATCTAAAATTTACATATATAAGTTTGGATTTAAATAGCTTCATATCATTCTTGTACATTACTACACAAAGAATGTAATAAAAGAAGGTATATACCAGTAAACGTACTTGCATCATCCCTTTCTATTCTGGTTCCATCACTAGTTGACACGCAAGTAAAGTGCAGGGGTTCAACCTCTAAAAGTCCAGTGAGAGATGTGAAACTTCCCTCAGCAGCTGTGCAACTACTGACTTTTCCATTTCCTAGTGCAGAAAGAAAAACCTCATAATGCAAGAAGATAATCTATAAAAGGCATGAAGTAACAATAACCATGACTACTAAACCAACTTTAATTAGTATAAAATGAACAAACCTCACACACTATTTTAACAAAAGGCACAATAAGAAAAATCTATAAACAAAAATACTAGCTTCCTTCATATAAAAGCAGGGCTGAATAAAAGTTGGTAGGAATTCACAGTAAAAAAAACTTACAGCATGTATCAAACTGAATCTCTTAAGCAGTAAAATTCCAGTGAAATAATTGCAACAACAACAAAAAAACAATTAAACTGAACCATGAGTTGTTTTAAATTTTGAAAACAACTTTTTTTGTTTCACTATACTACTTCACTATGAAGTATCTTTAGTATGCACTTCTGAAATACTCAAAATTCTGAAACTTTTGATCACTAACGTGATGGACAAAAGTTTCAGTTTTGGATTTTCAAATTACATATATTCAAAGTTGTTTTTGTTTTTTTGAGAAGAGGGACAAAGAAATTAATATATTACATCAAATGGTTTTAATAGTTCTTAGACATTATGGCTAATCTCTTTTTAAAAAACTTTAGTGATCTACAAAAGAGAGTAGCTACAATAAAGAGATGGTAAGTTAAACTCAGTATCTAACATTAAGACATACGAATAAAATACAGAACTATTTGTGTTTTATTCACTTAATAAAAGAGGTCGGTACCTGAAAGAACATCTGATAAATCAATTTCATCTGACTGGACACCAATGCTGCTATTGTATACATTTTTACAAGAAGAGCCACTCATCTCCAAGTCAAAAAGGACTGGATCAAATGGGGAGCTGTATAATCCATATCTGATAAATGAAATAATGCAATAAATAATTTACTTCTCAGCCATTTAGTTAACAAATTACCTGTTTTGTTTCTAAAGCAGTTTGACTAAAAGGAGCAACAAATTCACTCAACACCAGAGAAAACTACATTCTAAAAACACTGTCCAGAAGCTAATAAATAAGATTGAAAGAAACTGGTGCCAAGGCAACAAGACTGCTGTCTATGCCTGAGGTAAGGGAGAAAACAAAAAAGAAACCACTCCTTTCTCCCATTCCCTCACTACAATGACAAGAGATAATAAAAACTTTAAGAAAAATTTCATCAAAATCAGGATTTATAGCTAAACATACTAAAAAAAAAAGTGGTCTAAATAAAATGCCCAACTTTAAAAGCTGAAAACCATGGGCTAGAAAAATGGCTTAGTGGTTGAGAGCACTTGTGGCTATTACAGAAGACCAAGGTTTGACTCCTAGCACCCATATGGTGGTTCATACAAACATTCATAACTCCAGGTCCAGGTTATGTGCCACCCTCTTCTGACAACCACAGGAACCAGTTATGCTCACAGTGAACATATGTACATGCAGGCAAAACACTCAAACACATAAAGTAAAATCTAAAATTTTTCTTTAAAAGCTGAAGACCACGAAAAATTGTAAATCCAAACTTTAAGTTATTTCACTACATAAAGATTTAAAGAATTTCAGGTAAAAGTAACAAGTGATTTACATAATTATACCTATAAAGTTGTACCATTAATAAATTATATTACACGCCTCTTGCATTAGCTAAGCAAAGCATCTTTGTTAAATATAGTGCTGAAAGATAGCTTAACAGTTAAGCACACTGGCTATCCTTCCAGAGAACATGGTATTGATGACCAGCACACAAATGGCAGCTCACAACCATCTGTAACTCCAGTTTCAGGGGATCCAACACACTTTTCTAGCCTCCATAACACTGCATGCATGTGGTACACAGATAAAACATGCAGGCAAAAGAAAACAAAACCAAAAACAAAAACGAACAAGAAAATATATCTCTTTAAAAATATATAATTAGCCCTCTGAATAACACCATGAAATGTTACTAATGGCTGAAGGGAATAGTGGTAGAGAAAACATAAGAGTTGCATTTAGAAGAATATTCTGCACAACATGAATAAACTTTTTAAGGTAAAACACTGTTTCAAGTGTACCTAGCATGATGCTTTGAAAGAAAATGATCCCCAAAGAGAGCAGCACTATTAGGAGGTGTGGCCTTGCTAGAGGGTGAGCTTTGAGATTTTCTACGCTCAAGCTATGCCCAGTTTCAAAGTTCAATTCCTGTTGCTTGTGGGTCAAGATGTAAAACTCTCAGCTCCTTCTCTAGCACCATGTCTGCCTGCACAATGCTATGCTTCCCACCATCATGATAGTGGACCAAACTTCTGAACTGTAAATCAATCCCATTAAATATTTTCCTTTATAAGAGTAGCTGCAGTCATGGTGTCTCTTCACAGAAATCAGAACTCCAACTAAGACATCTAGCAATTAGCAGTTCTGTGTGCACTATTCACAATTTAAGATGTTAAAACTAACCTTGTTTGAAGTAGAGCCTCCAGTGGTGTCAGCCTGTCCTGCAACTGTCTGGACACGGCAGTGAGTAAAGCTGCACAAGCCGTACTGCACCCAGCCAAGTCTTCATCCTTAACGTAATTTAGCAATACAAAATACCAATAGACAGAACCTAGAAACAACAGAATAAAGCCTTTTGCACCTTCTCCATGATATAGAACTTCAGTTTACATGTTTATAAATACAGCTACCTATATTAGAAAGATACCTTCTTGTTTTGGAAAGATAATCCTTAACAATTTAGGAAGAAAGAAAAAAAATTCTAGAATAATATAAACAGCATCCTGAGGAAAAGCCTTAGGTTAAGAATTTCAGGACTGGTAAAATGATTCAGCAGGTATGGGCACTTGTCCCCCAAGCCTGATAAAGTTAGCCTAATACCCAAAATCAACACCGTAAGACTGCCCTTTGGCCTCCACGTATGCAGTGTGGCATTCACGCCATCCCATCCACAAATACAGAAATATTTTCCTAAGAAATCTAAAACATTTTTCAGAAGGTATATTAAATCAAACTTTTGATAAGAATACATTAATGTGCCAGGCATGGTGGAATATTCCTTTAATCCCAGCATTTGGGAGACAAAGACAGGAAGATCTCAGGGCTAGCCTGATCTACATAGCAAGTTCCAGAATAGCCATGGACACACAGAGACACCAACTCCAAAAACCAAACCAAACCAAACAAACCAACAAAAAAAAAAAACAACAACAACAACAAACAAGTAAATTAATGTGAGAAAGAGCCACAAAAGCAGAGACTGGAAGAGCCAAATTAACCTGAAATACAGCTTCTCTATACACTTGAGTGTACAGAGTGAGCTTAACGCAGTACACTTCAACAAACGAATGGAGTAGCACTCTAAACATTATGTCAGATATAACCAATGCAGCATGAATAAGAGAACCATGGCACATAAGATACTTTAATAAAGAAATCTTAGTACTAACTACATGCCAAAATTTTAGCAACCAACTATAAAAAAAAAACTGTAAGAATCTGTGAAAGATCAGAGGTTATTACAGTGAGCAAAAGAATGTAAAATGCCAAGCTCTATAGAGACCATCTCAAAATTAGATAGGTAAAAAAATGAATAAATAAACAAGGACACTACAGAACAACTGTGAGAAACACCTATAAAAATATCAGGCTGCAGAGATGGTTCAGCAGATAAGAGCACTTGGTTCTCTTGCATAAAACTAGGTTTGGTTCCCAGTATCTTCATAGTAGTTCACAATCCCATGACTCTAGCTCTAGAGGATCTGCAGCCCCTTCTAGGTCTCCTAGGGCACTGCAAACACACGACATTCTTAATATGAAAGCAAAAGCTCACCTAAAATAAAATAAAAACAGATGCACCTACACTCTCATTCTCATTCTCTCTCTCTCTCTCTCTCTTTCTCTCTCTCTCTCTCTCTCTCTCTCTCTCTCTCTCTCTCACACACACACACACACACACACACGGATTAAAAGGCTAAACAGGCATTCTTTCACAGTAACAGCAAAAGAACACATACAAAAGTCTCTTACTTTTTTTTACCTTATGCATGTATTATTGGAGTGACAACTTTGCAAATCCCTTTTTGATAACTACATTTATTCTTAGAAAGTATTTCTATAGAATCCTCACTGGGCCCTTTAGGGGAACTCAGTTTGCCACAGTCACTTGCAATAATATAATAGATACGCACATGCAATGGCAGCTCAACTATTTTATTTATCTATGACATCTCCATAGCACTTTTTGGCATTGCAGTTGTGACACATGATCTACAGTCAGTAAACAACTAAACAATTCAATAATTTTAATGTCAAAGAAAAAACTGTCAAGATGACTTGAAACTACCTGTGCCTCTTATCTACTGATGGAAATTATATAAATGTATGTGATTGTAGATACAAAAGCCACAGCACATGTTTAGAGGTCCGAATATGTGTGCAAGGGGTTAGTCCCCCCCATCCCAAGGTGGGTTTCAGGGACAGAACTCAACGTATCAGGCACAGCAGCCAAGTGTCCTGAATTACAAACTCAACTCACCTGTCCTTCCTACTATTAAACAGAAAGTATATGCAAAAAGAACCACAATTACTAACCCGTCAAGAAATACATACAGGGCTGGTAAATGGGTTTAGTTAGTATGGGCCTAATACACATGATAGGAGATCTAAATCCAAACTCTAAGAATACATCTTTAAAAATGGGCATGATGGCATGCTGGGGAGATGCAGAGAGGAGGGTCATTGAAACCCACAGGACACCCAGCTTAGTCTAATAGTAAGGCTGGAGGCCAATGAGGGACCTTGATTCTAAAGGAAGATAGACAACATTTAAGAGAAATTATACCTGAGAATCTGATGCCCCCAAATGCACCTATACTCATAAGTGCACCTATACACAAACACAAGCACATCCAATACCAAAGTATGTACTAATTACATTATTCAGTATAACTATTTGTTATTAAAGTAAGTTTACATACCACCAGTTGCTGCTGCTGGCAAAAAGCACATATTATCAAGTAAAGCCTTCAACAGAACAGATCCAAATCCAGGCTGACAGGGGTCACATTTGCCATTACTGGAAAATTGTTTATTAAAAAAGAAAGAATTTAAAGACTTTTTTATGACTTAAATTCAACCGTAAACTTGGCATAATACTTGAAAATTAAAAAAAACAGTCAAGTCACCAAGAGTTTTTCCCCCCAAGTTAGACGACTACAGTTACTAAAAGAAGGGCTAATTACGAAGTATTTAAGAATTCCTCTTAAATACTTCCAAGACAGTTAGGTGATGTTAGAGGACTTAGATTTAGCAAGACAAGGAATAAAAGGTGGTGAACAATCAAGCAGTAAGAGTCGGGGAAGGCACCACTCGAATTCTCACAATTACAGGAATTAAACTCAGCAAATTTACTTAACTTTGCATTTTACACTAAAGACCCCAAATTCTTCTTTAGCAACTGTTCAAAACTTACTCATGGATTAGATGAGAATTAAATCACATCATAGACAATATATCAACACCAAACCATAGATACAATTAAAAGTATGCTTTGAAATAAAAACATACCAACCTAATGCACAAGGCTAGAAATCGGGCACATTTATGGGCTATACTTCGTCCTGCCTCGAAGAAGCAAACACGTACAATGTCTGAAAGACATTTTCGTGTTTTTGAAAGTAGGCACTCATTTCCTTCCTTTGAGCTGCAAAATAAGAGCAAACAGACAGACTTATTTGGTCTCTGAATCTTAGCAGTCAAGGGACAGGCATTAAGGTAAACAAAATCCTAATTATTAACCTGCCAGGTCCATTTGAATGAACTCCAGCTAACCAGCAGAGAGCATCCAAAACAAGACTCTGAGCGTGTTCTGTGACTTGCCCGTCATCTGATCTTCTACAAAGAGTATTAAGAAGTTTCTCATGGAATTCTGAAAACTGTAACATGGCACAACGCTGAACCCTAAAAAGAGATATACAGTGTATTTATACCAGTGAAAACAATCAGACTACTGCTATACAACATAAAGGGTTATACAGTGTTTTATTTAATAAATATCAGCTGGGTGGTGGTGATGCATGCCTTTCATTAACCCTAAAACTCGGGGAGGCAGAGGCTGGCGAATCTCTGTGGCCAGTCTGGTCTACAGAGTGAGTTCCATGACAGCCAGAGATACACACACACAAAAAATAAACAACAATAATAATAATAAAAAAATTAAATTTTCAGGATTGGGTAGTTCAGTAGCAGAGGACTTGCCAGTATTATTTAGGACCTAGGTTCAAAGCAAAAGAGGAGAATAATTAAAAAAAAAAAAAAGAAAAAAAGAAAAAGAAAAAGGATAAAAAGGCTTCTAAACCAGTCTTATGTGAAATACAGAATTCATAGGATGTTTTAAAGAAAAACAAGCTTACAATGTGATCTAATAGAGTGTAGCTGAGGCCTCAAATCATGCTTCTTACATTTCTTACCTATTCCTCATACACAATAAGTAATACAATGACCAGAAATAAATTACTGAGCACAATTAAAAATATCCTCAGAAACCGTAATTTATTTAGAGAATGGGAAAGCAAGCAAATACTTCTAGGTGAAAGATTAAATCATGTGTTTATTTGCATTTTATTGTTATAATAAAAGAATCTCCACATGTGGTGAGGCATACCTTAAATCCAACGAGGTAGGAGTTGGAGGCAGGAGAATCAGTTCGATGTCATCCAGGAAGTACCTGAGACTTGTAACAACAAACAGGAAAAAAAAAAAAAGCTAATGAAATGTGATTACCTTTCCTTAGAAATTGAAGTTTTCTTAAATCTCCGAATGGTGACAGAGACTTCTTGAAGTAAGTCACAGCCCCGGAGATTTTCAGACTTACGAGTGCTTCCTGCATTTTCATTTTTAACATTAGATGATTTTTCCTAAACATACAAAATCAAATAATTTAAGATAAACAAATGAAACTAAAAATATAAAATAAAAACAGATTCCAAATAGCAAAAATGTGTTCTAGATTAAACTGGTAAATGCCTATTTTTCCACAATTTTAACAGAAAAAATATAGTCAAGATTTTAAAAGCCCAACAAGTAAAAATTATACAACCAAAACTTTGAGTCTAGTCCCCAGCTACAGAAACACAGAAATATTTAGACTACCTCAGAGTTACTCTGAGGATTAACTCTGGTAAAGTCCTTGAAAAACTAAAAGGCCTATGCAAATCCAAAGTGATGAGGGTGTTACTAATAATATTGCTAATGTTTCTAAACAATAATAATAGTAAAAAAATGTTGGTAATATTACTTTAAAGTGTGTTACTTTTGTTTAAGTTGCATTTGTTTAACTCTGTGAAGCAGTGATAATTTGCCCGTCTTGAACACCTGAAGGTCTAATAAATATCTGAATGCCAATAGTGAGGCAGGAGGAAGGATAATCGGGACTGGTGGGCAGAGAGAATATATAGGAGAGAACTGGGAGATGGGGTTCAGAGCAGTATCTCAAGAAGAAACAGGACATCAGGGCCCCGCCACCCAGCTACACAGCAATCCATGGAGTAAGAGGAAGAGTTAAAGAAGTAAAAGAACAGGAAAAACACAAAGGCCAAAGGGTAGACGGGATAATGTAAGTTAAGAAAAGCAGGCACAAAATATGTCAAGCTAAAGCCAGACATTTATAAATTAGAAAAAGACTCTGTGGGTGATTTATTTGGGAGTCAGATGGTGGGACCCCCAAAAGAGTCCAGAAAGCATAACATCATATTACTACAAAGAAATAAATCCCAAGTATAGGAAAATCTACACTCAAGACAAGTATGAAGAAAATTAGCCATGAAAATCAAGGCGGTCTCTAAAATTATTTAGCAGCAGCCTTCTCAAAAGATCATATAAACAATAAAGCCCTGAGTTTAGAGGGAATACTTCTAAAAATACTTCCTATTGAATGAGCACAGTTTATAAAAGCTGAATTATTAACTGGGTGGTGGTGGCATGTGCCATTAATCCCAGTACTCAGGAGGCAGAGGCAGGCCTGGTCTACAGAGCTAGTTCCAGGTCAGTCAAAGCTATGCAAAAAAGAAAAACCCTCTCTGGAAAAATAAAAACAAGCAAACAAACAAAAAAAAAAAAGGAAAGGAAAGAAAGAATAGTTAAATTATTTATCCAAAGTTAATTCAAAACATCTTCTTGATTATAATTATACATTTTTTGATTTCATGGCAGAGAAAAATTATCAAAAGACCAAGCAGCAAATGAACTATCAAACAAGATAAGCAGGCCTTCCAACAAATCTCAACCATAACATTGTCCTGTTCAAATATAGAATCCATACCTTGCCTGCTGCAACCTTTGCCAAGAGAGAAGCAAGTGAGTAGCCCTTGTGACCCTGGTGTTTCAGAGATGGAAGTCTCACAACAGGACGCATGCCACCGCTACACATCTCATCTGCTCCTCTTTCATTAACTGCTTTGACATGGATTAAAAACGAGCGATATTTCCCTCCTGCCATACCTGGAGGCGTGGAAAGATAAAAAATTTACTGCCAAAAAAGTAAGTTCTTTCATCATTATAGAGCAAGGTAAATACTAACTCTATGAAAAGAAAAATATACAAAGCCAGAAATTCCAATTTATACTTTCTGATTACATAATGGAACAATTTCAACACGGTAGCAAAGTAAATAAAGCTTTATTAAGAGTCTAAGAGAGAAAACTGTGCCAGATACTGGCAGTACACAACTTAAATCACAGCGCTCGGAAGACAGATCTCTGTGAATTCAAGGACAGCCAGAGCAGTTACACATAGAAACCCTGCCTTCAAAAATAGAAAACAAGAAAAAAAAAGTTGACTATAAGTATCATTGACACTATCTATTCCAATGAGAAAATTTTTGATTATAGAAATCATTTAGCATATGTGGTTCTAATGACATTACTTATTTTAATGGTAGAATTTTGTAAAGTATAGAAAAAAACAAAGATAAACTGTTCATAGGGGAGGGGACTACTGTCAACAAATGACTACGGTAGAATGTGGTCTAAGATCTATCTAGCCATCTTCTTTAATTCATTTTTTATGTGCACTACTGTTTCGCATGCGTGTACGTCTATGCGCGGGTACTACATTTCCTGGAACTGGAATTACAGAAAGTTGTGACTTGCCAAGTGGGTGCTGGGAATTGTAACTCAGTCTTCTAGAAGAACAACCAGTGCTCTTAACCGGTAAGCCATCTCTCCAGCCCTAGTCTTTATAAAACTATTTTTATCTTTTAATTATGTGTAAGAGTATGTCTGAGTTATGTCCTTATGCATGTGTGTTCAGTGCCTTTGGAAGACAGGTGTTTAAAGTCCTGTAAAGGGAACTGTATTGAACTCAGATCTCTTAACCACTGAGCCACCTCTTGAACCCTTATCTAAACTTCATATGTCCATACATATATGTATGTAAAAATATACACAAAGCATTTTAATCGTAATAGATAAAAATCAATGACATACTTTAGCTCTGAGCAGTAGTGGTGTATGCCTTTGATCCCAGCACTTGGGAGACAGAGACAGGCAGATTTCTGTGAGTTCAAGGCTAGCAAGTCCCAAGACCAGAGCTACAGAGAGAAACCCTGTCTTAATAAACAAACAAGCAAACAAAAAACACACAGAGAAAGAGAGGGAGAGAGAGAGAGGGAGAAAAGTAGGTAGCTTGGTTTCCTGAAAGAAAAGAAACAGTTTTGCTTTAACTACCAGGTTTTGAGTAGTAACTGCCATTTCAAGGTATGTGATAAATACCTTCTTGTGGTTCAGTTTTTTCTCATATACAACAGTACCTACACCTTGAAGTTAACACTCTTGTAAGAAAGCAAGAATTCAACAGTTACTAACCTTATAATGCAGTCTCATAGATCCCATCTATAATGTAAAATATCCTCAAATAAATACACCTAACAAACCATCAAACTGATGCTATAGTACGTACTAAATCTTTTAATAGCATCAATAACTACCACTACTTTCCACATTTCTGCGTGCTTCTAAGTGCTGGACTATACTGAACATGTTTCTCTCTGACCCAAGTAGCTCTGGTACTGCTACACTCTACTGTATTAGTCTACTGGGATCTGACAGGACTCTCCACCTCAATCTTCCTTCTTCAAGCTTTCCTTTGATACAACTCATACTTTTACTCACCTGTTAAAATTTTACAATCACACTTGTATAATTTTAAAGATCATGAGGGCCAGGTATGGTGGTGCAGACCTTTAATCCTAGCACACTGGAGGCAAATGGAGTTCTGATTTCCAGGCCAGCCTGATTTACATAATGAGTATCAGGATATGATGTAGGTGGGCTTTCGATCTATGTGTTATTTTCATTGGTTAATAAAGAGACTGCCTTGGCCCTTTGATAGGACAGAAAATTAGGTAGGCGGAGTAAACAGAACAGAATTCTGGGAAGAGGGCAATGAGGCAGAAGCCATGGAGCCAGTCACCAGGTCAGACATGCTGAATCTTTTCTGGTAAGCCACCACCTCGTGGTGCTACACAGATTATTAGAAATGGGTTAATCAAGATGTGAGAGTTAGCTAGTAACTAACTCTCTAGAGATAATGAGTCAGGCAGTGTTTAAATGAATACAATTTGTGTGTTGTTATTGCCAGGGCTAAGCTAACCATGCGGGAGCCGGGTGGGACGAAAAGCAGGCCTGCCTGCAGCTCCTCACTACAAGAATAGTCAGGGCTACATAGAGATCCTGCCTCAAAAAAAGAAAAGAAGAGAAAAGGAAGGAAGGAAGAAAGGAAGGAAGGAAGGAAGGAAGGAAGGAAGGAAGGAAGGAAGGAAGGAAGATAGATTGTGAGATCATAGGGGAGATTAGAGAAGAAAAAAAAATACCACAAAACACTTAAGTCTTTGCTGAGACATAAAATGTAACGTGTCCCTATTTAGTCTAACCACTTTTTCTTTACAACGCTCATTTATACTCTAAATAATACAGCAGATTTGATTTTTTTGTACAACTACCTTCCAGAATGAACCCAAACACATCATAGGATCTCACATCTTTTATGAACAAATCACATATAGTCATGAAGTACAATGAAACTTGTATATACAGAACTTACCTTTATCTGGGGGTGTATGTTTCAAAACCACCCACTAGGTGGTGCTGAACCCTATAAACACCACGTACCTTCCTAAAACACAAAACTGCAAAGAAGCTACATAACCCTATCTCACAGACACATCAAAACCCCCAAAACCTAGAATCAAGTTTCACATAAATAGGTACTTATGACAGCTGCTATCCTCACACATAGGAGGCTAGAAGTTTAATGGGGCTTATTTATTTATTTATTTATCTATCTATCTATCTATCTATTTATTTATTTATTTATTATATATACAATATTCTGCCTGCATGTATCCCTGTGGCCAGAAGAGGGCACCAGATCTCATTATAAATGGTTATGAGCCACCATGTGGTTGCTGGGAATTGAACTCTGGAAGAGCAGCCAGTGCTTTTACCCTTTGAGCCATCTCTCCAGCCTCGAAATTAGAAGTTTTAATCAAAGTTATGAACAAAACGGAATTTTTGTGATTTTCAAAGCATCTTTTTATCATGCTGGTATTATTCTGCTTTTACAAAATATGTTACTTTACCTTTAACAAGTTTGGGGCTTGTCAATGTCAACATCCCAGCATGACCTGATAGATCAAGACCACTAGCAAGCCATACTGGGCCACACAGAATGTCTTCTTTATGATCCTCTAAAAACGGACATAACCGAAGACCTAAAAAGAAAAATACAAAAGTTTTCTTTCAGTGTATTATTGGAAATCCAATAAAGATATACACATCCCATTTACATGATACCACCACACAAAATACAATACATAAAACGTGTTCAAACAAAATCATCATCATGCTAAGGAAGTATAATCAATCATCTATGTTATGTGTTGTTTACCACTCTCATTTTATATTTCACCCTGATTTTCAAGAAAGGATCTATAGAATCATGACTTGATTCAAATCACAAGTTATTAAGTAGAACACAAGTATTAGTGCAGCTATATTTCAAAGATGAACTGAAAGTTACAGCACATTGCCAAAGCAGAATTATGTGTTACTTTTTAATCATATTCTTAAAACCAAGCTCTTGCAAGCCACAAGGAAGTCTTTCCCAAGAGAATGCAATGCATTAAGACCACTACTCCTTTACTGCCAGGGACAACAGCTCTGTGGTTGAACTCACACTGTGACTCCTCTACATCCATGTGCTGCATTTCTTCATTCATATCAACCAGAGACGGGTTCCCATTTTGTTCCACTTCAATGTTAAGAGCTGGAGACAAAGGAAAGGTGATCTGCCTATCTACTGCTGTTTCTAGAGGATAAAAATATTAGTAAACTTAATTTTGCTTAGTATCAATAATTTTGTGTCTAAAAATCTAAAACCTTCTGCTAAACAGGGAACTATGATTTTCACCACAGTTAATATAAAATGGTTGGTGTCAAGAGGAGAAAATTAAATTCAATGATTTTATACTTTCTCCTCTACAAATGATAATAAAATATTTGCCTAAAGATATAATTTGTTGGCAATTAAATTAAAAGTTCTTCCCTAAGCTGCACAGTACAAATACCCACAAAGCTTTTAAAATACCAATTGCCTAAGTCTTAGATTCATTACATGAAAACGTCATGAGAATACATAGACAGACAGACAGACAGAAAGACAGACACACTCACCCCTCAATTAAGTATGCAAACACGCAAGAAATTTCTGGCAAAGGAAAATTTTCAGATTTGAATATTTGTACTCATTGCTGGGGTGCCATTTTACACTCAATTTATTCTCAAGTTTTTAAATCATTTTTAAAGAAAAAAGGTAGGGGCGAAAAAAGAAAACACTGAGAAGAAGTCACATCTAGTTCCTATCATAGTAAATCCACACCAAAAAAAAAAAAATGGTATTATTTCTGGCATTACATGAAAGGCTAGCTTGACTGATTACTTTTAAATAGTAATTTCCAAAACTGTTTTTCTTGCCACCAAGTCTTCCTTTAAAAAGACAAAGCTTAAAGCTAGCAGTCACAGAAGAGGAACTAAAGTCACTTCACAAAGACTTGATTAAACTAATCACTATCATAAATTGTGCAAATTGCAGAGTTACTGGAAAATCTGAAAAGTCCTTTCAATGACTCTGACCCTAAGTAGGTCAACAACTATCAGGAGCAGGAAGAGCCACCAAAACCACCAGTCAAGCTTCTGTAGTGACACCAACCACAAAACAAGGACTTCAACATTAATTCTGACCCCTCTTACCATTGGCTTTCCCTAGGCCCGGAGCCTTGTTCTTCAGCAGTGTCACTTGTATCTGGGGGACACTGGTGATGTTCGAGTTCAGAACAAATTTGAAGTCTACATGTCCAACCATACAGGCTTTAGGAAGAACCAGTTCAAATACATGTTCATCCCAGCTGTTGCTGTCACAAAAGGTGAAAAATGTTAAGGAAAGCAAAAATCTTCCTCTTACATAATAATATCATCAACATCACACCACCTTTCCTATTCCTTGTTGTTTACATTCCAACAAATCCTGAGATACAGAGAGCTCTAGACAAAACTGAGGTACAAAGACATAGCCTCAAAAAGAAAGGGAAGACAGAGGCTAAAGAGACGGCCCAGTAGTTAAAAGAACACTTTACCAGAAGACCCAAATTCATCTGCAAGCACTCATACTGGGCAGCTCATAACGACCACTAACTTCAGTAGAAAGACATCTGATAGCCTTTTTGGCATCCATGGTCATTCAAACACATATGGCATACACAAACAAATATGTGCATAGGAATAAAAATAAAAATAAGCTCATGTTTTATTTTTTTAAATATTTAATTTTTTATTATGCATACAATATTCTGTCTGTGTGTGTGCCTGCAGACCAGAAGAGGGCACCAGACCCCATTACAGATAGTTGTGAGCTACTATGTGGTTGCTTGGAATTGAACTCAGGACCTTTGGAAGAGTAGGCAATGCTCTTAACCTCTGAGCCATCTCTCCAGCCCCTCATGTTTTATTTTTAAAAGAAATTACTGTCCAACAAGTGTGGTGATGTACATCTTTAATCCCAGCACTCGAGAGGCAGAGACAGGTGAATTTGAGGCCAGTTAAGTATACAGAGTGAACTCCTGGACTGCCAAGGCTACCCAGAGAAACCCTGACTCCA